ACAATGCGTTCCTGACCGCATGCCTAGGGCGAGCGAGGATTGGTGTTATTCATGGCCAATGTTTCGTCACATACGAGGGCCAATTCTGATTGAACGATGGGGGCTAGCGTGATCAAAGCTGATGGACCGGCCGGGAGCATGAAGAGTCCGAGAACGAGAGGAGCCGGGGCGCGTATCGAGTACGGTTTCGAGCGGCGCTTCGAAGCTCCTAAAACTGGTGATGGATACATTCTGGGGGATAGTCGCTGGGGGAATGGTGATGGTGCTAGTATAGCGCATCCGCCCACCCGTTTCAAGGGCTGGAGACGAGACTGGACCAGCTTCCGGTTCCTTTTCTTGCGAGCCCTATTTTTCACGCTTCCCTTACGCCTTTCTTTGCTTTTCTCCCGCACATGATGATGGACAGCCCCATCAACGGCGGCGCTAACGGAATAGAATGCAGTGGGCGGCGGTGGACTGTTAGGGGCAGTTGCAGCAGGCCGGGCCGGGGGAGGAGGTTGCTGGTGCGGACACGGCCAGCGAGAGCCTGAGATCTCCTCTCAGCCGCCTGTCCATCATCATCATGCACCGGGCTGGCCAGGGTAGCTCTCATCTGCATATCTGCATCCGATTTGGGGTTGCCACCTTCTGGGTCGTTTCTCCCTGTCTCCCCCACAACTTTTGGCCTTTGCCCCTTCTCTCCTGGCACGTCTGCTCCGTGAGAGATTTGCCTATAGCGACGGTTCCCAAACCTTGATGGAGGTGCGAGTGGTGTTGGATAGCATGTTCTGTGATCGAGAATCAGTTGAATCGGGCTGGACCCGTACCATCTCTCATGAGGTCACGGTGGGTTAATTTCGTTCCCCCGGAGCCCTGCCAAGCAAAAGCAATGGAAGCGCCCTCGAATCCCCGAATCCCCAGAGCTCATTGTCGCACCACAATAATTTTTGGGCAGGGACGTAGGCGCAGCTTCCTTCCGGTTTGCGACCGGGTACCTGTACTCGCAAATATCTGGTGCGTCCGCGGCAGACGCAAGTACCACCCGTACCTGCGGCACCGCCTGTAAGCTCCCGCATCAGGCGATCCAGTCAAACGGCAGCAACAACCTGGAGCACAACAGCACCAACTGACTGTTGCCCACCTCATGCAACATCCAGCTCCAGTCCCCACGCGAGAGAGCCAGAGCCCACTCCGACCTTTCCCAGACCAGGTAGTGCCTCGCACACATCCATACCGTAAGTTCCATGCGACACACTCTAAGCTCCAGCATCGACGGAGGAGTAGTCATTCCAGCTAGTCATAATACCTGCTAATAGGTACCTACATCAAGAAGCGAACCTCCTCCATCTCCTCCTCTCCTCGACCTTCTCTCTCCCACTCTCCCCTCCATCCACCACCACACAGTCACCATGCTCTCCGCTCTCCGAACCACCGCCGCCCGCCGGGCTTTCGTGCGCCCTGCTGCAGTCACTGCTGTCGCTTCTCGTGGCCTTTCCATCTGGAGCAACGTGCCCCAAGGCCCACCAGTAAGTTGTCGCCTGCGCTGAGTCGAGAAGACCCCGATCCCGGAGCTAACAGGTCAATTTTCTAGGATGTAAGTTGTTTCTGCCGTTTAGATTGGGACCAATCCTTGGATCCCGGACTCTGTTTCTATCCAATTCGCTTTGTTGCTGACCTCGACGTCTTCCGCCTGATCTTAGGCCATTCTGGGTATGCTTCCTCCCCTCAACAATTGCTCACCCTCACATCAATTGGCATCGAAACTAACACCAATTCGTTCCTAGGTATCACCGAAGCTTTCAAGGCCGACTCCAACCCCAAGAAGATCAACCTCGGTATGCCACGCCCTTCTCACCACCTATATACTGTCTGGTCTTTGTGTGAAAGTGCTGGGAGAAAGATGGACAAAGACGATTGACAATTTTCTCCCAGGTGTTGGTGCCTACCGTGATGACGCTGGCAAGCCCTACGTTCTCCCCTCCGTCGTCCAGGCTGAGGAGCGTCTCCTCGCCAAGGCCCTGAACAAGGAGTACGCCGGCATCACCGGTGTCCCCGAGTTCCCCAAGGCCGCCGTCAAGCTCGCCTACGGTGCCAACTCCCCCGTCCTCGACAGGCTCGCCATCACCCAGACCATCTCCGGAACTGGTGCTCTCCGCATCGGTGCCGAGTTCCTCCAGCGCTGGTACAGCGGCGAGAAGAAGATCCGCGTTCCCACCCCTACCTGGGCCAACCACAAGGCCATCTTCAAGGATGCTGGCATCACCTCTGTCGACTACCGCTACTACAACAAGGAGACCATTGGCCTCGACTTCAATGGACTCGTTGAGGACCTCAAGAACACTCCTCCCGGCAGCACCATCCTGCTCCACGCCTGTGCTCACAACCCCACCGGCGTTGACCCCAGCCAGGACCAGTGGAGGGAGCTCTCCAAGGTCTTCAAGGAGCTCGGCCACGTTCCCTTCTTCGACATGGCCTACCAGGGCTTTGCCAGTGGTGATGCCGACCGCGATGCCTTCGCTGTCCGCCACTTCGTCGAGGAGGGCCACAAGATTCTTCTCTGCCAGTCTTTCGCCAAGAACATGGTATGTACTAAACCACAAAGCCCCATATTCGAAGAATATACGCTAATCAACATTGTTTTTTAGGGTCTCTACGGTGAGCGTGCTGGTGTCTTCTCTGTCGTCGGTGCTGATGCCGAGGAGGCTAAGCGCATCGAGTCTCAGCTGAAGATCATCATCCGCCCCATGTACTCCAACCCTCCCATCCACGGTGCTCGTCTCGCCGCTGAGATCCTCAACGACGAGAAGCTCTACAAGCAGTGGCTCGGTGAGGTCAAGGAGATGGCCGATCGCATCATCACCATGCGCACCCTGCTCCGCGGCAAGCTTGAGAAGCTCGGCTCCAAGCACGACTGGTCTCACATCACCAACCAGATCGGCATGTTCGCCTACACTGGCCTGACCCCTGAGGAGGTTGCCAAGATCACCAAGGACCACTCCGTCTACCTGACCAAGGACGGCCGTGTCTCCGTTGCTGGCATCACCAGCTCCAACGTCGACCACCTTGCCCAGGCCATCTTCGCCGTCAAGGGCTAGATTGTATAAATCACTTTAAATAATCCACCAGGAAAGGATGGGCTGGACTGAGGAGGCTACCCCACCTACCCTTTGTATGACGAACCGAAGAAAAAAAATCTAAAACTGATGTGACGAGCCCATAGTGTGGGATGCATCACCATTTGATATCCAAAATTGAAACGTTTAAAACTACTGTCCGTTATACGTGAATTTATGTGCTGAGATCTATAATAAACTGACATGTCATCCGCTATCATTATTGTGGCTGATTTGATTCAAGTGGAGGGGAGGCACCAGAAAACCAGATGAACCTTCTGACGTTCTAATGTCCTTCTAGAAGCTCTTAGGCCCTCTCCAAGCGATCGAGGTCCCCCTCGGCGTCCGCCACCTGCCGCATCATGTCCCGGTACACCCTGGCCATCTCCTTCATCGTCTTCTCCTTGCCCTCCCCGCCGTCAACTCCGACCCCGTACTCGCCCAGCTCCGCCGCCAAACCCCGCAGCCGCTCCTCGGCACGCACCTTTGCGTCCCGGAGGTGCGACGCGTAGTTCCTCAGGGCGGAGATGGCCTCTGGTGTGTAGATGTCCCGGCGCAGCGCCCAGCGGCCAATCTCGGCGTCGAGCTCGGTGCGCTGGGCCTGCAGCACCGCGGAGGAGGCGCGTAGCTCGAGGCTGCGGGCCACGACGCCGTGCTTGGCCTCGAGGACGCGGAGGAGGAAGCCGAGGGCCGTGGTGTAGTCGTGCAGGAGGGCGGTGAGGGCGGTGAGGGTGAGGATGCGGGCGCTGTGAAGCGAGGCGGTGGAGGCGGCGGAGAGGTCTGTCAGGGTGGTGAGGGTCTGCGAGAGGGAGGCGACATGGCGGTGGAGGTAGGATGGGTTGGTGGAAGGGTGGGCGATGCGGGCGAGGTCGAGGGCCGAGGAGCGGAGGGCCGAGGAGATGAGGTTGGTGAGGTCCGGGAGGAGGGATTCGAGGTCCGAGAGAGGCGGACTGGAGAGGAGGAGGGAAAGGGAGTCCTGGGGCAGTGGCTCTGCAGGGTTGAGGAGAGGGGGTAGGATGAGGAGTAGGTCGAGGAGAGGCTCCGGTAGGCTTGGTTTTGGAGCTTGCTGTGGCTGCGCTTGTGCTTGAGGCCGGCCTGAGGGTCTGGCAATTCTGCGGTTGGCAGTGGATGATTGCTCAGGCGGAGAGAGTGTAGCAATGGTCCTGGTGATGAGATGTTGCTTGGCAGCCTTGAGGCGGTATGCCTTCAGCTCCTATATCTCTGATTAGCTTGGGTTCAAGGAAAGTTGGAATGGTACGATGAAATCGTAGAAGCGTGATCTAGAAATCAGGAGCCTACCTCTTGGACATGCTCTCGCTCCTTGGCTGAGGGGTCTTCCTTGGTTGAGCCGTCTGGGTTGAGGATGGCCTTTGTGAGCTTGTTGTAGAGATTGGCAAAGTCCGGGTTGTTCGTTAGAACCGCATCATGAACCGGCGGGAACATGTTGAAATATTCATTCAGCCAATATGGTCTAACAATGGTGACGAGAGTGGAATCATTCTCAACTGTTATGCTAAAACGCAGTAAATGAAGCCCTTGGTAGATCACGAAAGCTACACGGACTCACATGACATGGGTTAATGCAAAGTCGCTGGTATAGGGTAGCCACCAAATGTTGGTATCCGGCCCGGCCCGGATCATCACGCTCCCGAGCTAAAGCAACCAATCCTCACAATTTTTGGTCATCCTGGCATCGTCAATAGGCGGGAAGACGAAAATCGAAACCCCCCACGGCACCGAGATACTGGCTCCAGGGCTTTCCCACGGTCTAGCTCGATCCTCTGAGCGGCCAATCGCACCATGCCACCCTCAAACCCCCTCCAGTCCTTCTCCAGGACCGCTACTCCATTGAGCAGCGGCATGCGGATTCTGCGTACCTGCCAGCAGCCCTCGTGCGCTTTCAGCACCTCATCGGCCCTCCAGACCAAGACGATCAAGCCCTCCCGCCTCCCCGACAAAGTCATCCCGCCCTACCCCTACGGCGAACGCCAGGTCTACAAGCAGTCGAACCGGGGCCTTTACGGCTCCGCCCGCATCCAGTTCGGCAACAACGTCTCGGAGAAGCACAAGGTCAAGACCCAGCGGTTCTGGCGGCCAAACATCCTCGTCAAGAGCTTCTTCTCCCCGGCCATCGGCGCCAACATCAAGACCCGCCTGACCATGCGCGTCCTCAAGACCATCAAGCGCGAGGGCGGGCTGGAGAACTACCTGCTCAAGAGCAAGCCCGCCCGCATAAAGGAGCTCGGCCCGGGCGGCTGGAACCTGCGCTGGCTGCTCATGCAGACCGAGGCCGTGCAGAGGCGCTTCAACGAGGAGAGGGTCGAGCTGGGGCTGGAGCCCAAGGAGATCGAGGACAGGAGCGACCTGATCCAGTACGCCCTGGACTACGCGACGCCCGGCCACCTCAACAGGAGGAGTCGGGAGACTCTGGCGAGGCTACAAGAGCAGGAGGTGGAGGAGTTCATTCTCGGGATTGAGGATCTGTCCGGGTATGAGGGAGTGGAGGAATTGTCTGAGGAGGCCGAGGAAGCTCTGCTCGCTGAGGCTGAGAGCGCTGAGGAGGACGAGGTAACGACCAAGGCTTAAGGGAAAATAAAACAAAACCCTGTATTTAAACGCATTGTACCATTTGTGACAGTATAGATGTATAATAGCAACTCATGATCGGATTCCCACGTATTCGTGATCTCTTTTCCATTTTTTACTTAGCTCATGTGAGCTAGATGTCTACTGGATATCTGATGCAAAAAGAAAAACTATAATAAATCGAAAAACCTTTTGCCCTAAACTCCATGAATAAATATCCTCACATCCTCACAAACGCTATTTAGAATCTCAGATCCCATCCAATTTGAGGGCCGAGCTTGGGCAGCTCTTCAGCCACGCTCTGGACGTCCTTGTCTCCACGACCGCTGAGGCAGATGACAACGTCCTCGTCCTTCTTCATCGTCTTGGCTAGCTCGATGGCACCGTAGATACCGTGGGCAGTCTCGAGCGCGGGAATGATACCCTCGAGCTGGCTGATGAGACGGAATCCCTGGAAGGCCTCGGCATCTGTTGCGGCGATGAACTTGGCTCGCTCGTTATCCTTCCACTGACTGAGCTCGGGGCCGACACCGGGGTAGTCCAGTCCAGCCGAGACGGAGTGGGTGTCCTGGATCTGGCCGTGCTTGTCCTGGAGGACATATGTCCGTACACCGTGCAGAACACCCTTGGAGCCGCCAGAGAGTGTTGCGCTGTGGCGGTTAGTGTCGACACCGTCGCCGCCGGCCTCAACACCTAGGAGCTTGACACTGGGGTCATTGGAGAAGGGGTAGAACATGCCCACGGCGTTGCTGCCACCTCCGACACAGGCGACGACGGCATCGGGGAGCTTGCCTCGCTTCTCCTGCATCTGCTTCTTGGTCTCCTCGCCGATGATGGACTGGAAAGTACGGACAATGGTGGGGAAGGGGTGGGGGCCGATGGCTGATCCGATGATGTAGTGGGTGGTATCGAGCTCAGTAACCCAGGCACGGAGAGCTTCGTTGACGGCGTCACGAAGGGTCTTGGTACCGGCCTCGACGGCGATGACCTTGGCTCCCAAAAGCCGGATACGGAAGACGTTGAGAGCCTGTCGGCGAACGTCCTCAGCTCCCATGTAGATAGTGCACTCCATGCCGAACTTGGCACAGACAGTGGCAGTGGCGACACCATGCTGTCCAGCGCCGGTCTCAGCAATGATCTTGGTCTTCCCCAGTCTTCTGGCCAACAGGAGCTGTCCAAGAGCGTTGTTGATCTTGTGGCTTCCAGTGTGGTTCAGATCCTCACGCTTGAGCCAGATGTTGGCACCACCAGCATACTCGGTCAAGCGCTCAGCAAGATGGAGTCTGCCGGGTCGGCCCATGTAGTCGTAGTACGAGCGGTATTCCTCCCAGAACTTGGGGTCGTCCTTGATCTTGTTGAAGCCATCCTCCAGCTCGGAGAGACAGTCCATCAAACTCTCAGGCACGAATTGGCCACCGAATTCACCGAAGCGGTCGGGGATCTTGCCATGCAGGGCTGCGAGCTGAGCAACAAGATCTTTATCGGCGGCCGCTAGGTCCTCGTCGGTTACGGTTTCGTTGACAGTAACGTTGTCTCCTGAGGGTTCTTTAGCAGCGGCGATGGCTTCTACAATACCGACCTCACGGGTCTTGCCATCGGGAGAGTCGCGACCGCAAAGATAGGCGCAGTACTTCTCGATATCGCTGAATCCTTCTCCATCCTTTGCCTTTTGCAGGGTGGTGATAATCTGGCTACCGACAACTACTCCGTCGGCTAGGGAGGCTACGCTGAGGAAGTGCTCGCGAGTGCTGACGCCGAATCCGACGGCGGCGGGCTTGTTTCCACTGTATTTCTTGACGCGCTCGAGGAGTTCAGGCAGATTGGCGTTGAGAGTTCCTGTGGCGCCAGTGACGCCCTGTCTGGAGACGACGTAGATGAAAGAATCGGCAAGCTGGCAAAGAATCTTCATTCGGGCGTCTGAGGTCGCGGGTGCGATAAGCGGTACATATGAGAGGCTGTGGCGAGTGTTAGATGACTTTCCTTGCTTGAACGACTGAATGCAAACTCACCCTCCCTTGGAGCAGAGCTTGCGGAAGGACACAGCCTCCTCGGGCGGCAAGTCGACAACAATGAATCCGTTGACACCTGCGGCGTGGCAGTCCTTTAGCAGACGCTCCTCGCCGTAGTTAAGGAGTGGGTTGTAGTAGCCCATGAAGATCACGGGGGCCTTGAGACCTCGGCTCCTGGCAGTCTTGACTATCTCAAGCGAGGACTCGATTGTGACACCATGCTGTAGCGCTACCTGTTTCCCGAGTATTCAATTAGTCGAGGGGATTTCGTGGCATGCCAATGAATTACTCTGGCGAGACGTACAGTGTTGGCGGTCTGAATTGTTGGGCCATCGGCAATTGGGTCGGTGAAAGGCACACCGAGCTCAAGCACATCTGAGGTTTGCTGTTAGCTGAAAATCCTTCATGCGAAATGGCGAAAGAATTGCCCATTGCGAGTGTTCCAACATACCAGCACCTCCCCTCTCCAAAGCCAGGAGAATCTCTGGCGTGTCTTCTGGGCGAGGATAACCGGCGGTAACATATGTGACAAGGGCAGACTGTTCCAATTTGTTAGTTCTCCTTGAATTGTCCACGCCTGCACCGTCGTCGAGGACGAGTGGTGATATGTTGCCCCGCGCTAAGTAGGAGGGGCATTGGAGGCAGATTTCTGGTTGCCGAGAACGGACTCACTCGATTTTGCGCCTTACAGGCGGCAAACGTCTGCTTGATGGCCTCCATTGCAGTGTAAAGAGTTCCCGGTTCGATTGACGTGTGGGCTGGGTGAACGCTGGTAGCAAGGGAACGATCTCTGTGGATTGTGGGCGGCTGGAAGATTTATAAAAACGGTGAGAAGGGTCTGGAACTCTATTGAATCATACACTTCCGATAGGTAGGCACGGAGGGACCTGCGCTGCTTCCACCTTAAGCTCTGCCGAACAGCGGCAGCACGTTGCAGCATGCACGAAAGTGGAGCATCTGCACTCCGATCCGGAGTAGCCAAAAACGGTAATTAGTCAATACAGCTCCGTGGCCTGCATCTGTCTGCCGCCTGCAGAGTGCGGTCCGCGTTCCTGACAGTCATCTGGTAAGCTAGGAATAGGAATTTACGGAACGGCTTGCGGAATGAATGAAGTTTAGATTGTGATTCATTTATGGCTACCTTGGTATCATGTCTGCCGCCCTGAAGATTCGCCCTCGGGCTGCATGAGCATATGAAACTCCCTGCATACACTCTCGAGAAAAACAAAATGCGTACATATAACTCTATTGAAAATGAATGAAAGGGATTCCTGTCAAGGAAAATCCAAAAAAAAAGAGACCAGAAAAAATGGAAATTATGCTAATATAGATCCTAAAAAACCATCCGCTGTCACACCACTGTTGTTGCTTCCTGCTCAGAAGGCATTCTTCTCTCTGGAGCTGTACTGGGCACCCCCTTTGACATCGGAACCGTAATGCACGGGGCTGTCTGACGTGTCGGAGGTGATTCCATCGTCTTGCCAGCGATGCTGATACTGATTATTTTGTCCCTGTTGATGATCGTGTGAACGAGCCTGGGTGTTTTGCGCTTCACCGTCCTCATTGTAGTGTGATTCAACACCTGGTCGGGCCTCTCCACGCATGGCCATGCCTGCGAGGGCTCGTGTCACTCCAATCAAGACGACAATGATGTAAGCGAGAAGAATTCCCAGAGAAATAAGCGCTTCCTGAACAATGTTGCGATGCATCCAATCTGTGACCTTTTGAACTGCCCCAGATACCTCATCGGTTGTAACGGAAGAAGGGGATGCAAGGAAGCTGTTAAGATCTGAGTCACCGTTGAGAGATTCCTTGGCGCCGAGGCTGAATGTATCGTTTGCAAAAAGCGGCAGAGTAATCTTGGAATTGTCATGCACCCACGTGAGGCCTTTCTGGAGGCTCTCAATCTTGAGGCCGATGACACAATGAATGACGGTCTTGATGGGATCAAGCAGAACCGTGCCGTTAAAGACTGTTTGAAGCCCGTCATCCATGGTGTCCATGAATACATTGATGGTCTTGTTGACGGCACTTGTAGCATTGGTCACATAGGAAAGAACATCGTCATTGATGTCGCTGTTCAAACCCTTGATGACCCCGTTGGCGGCTGTTGCCCAATTTTCCGATACAGAGTTGATGCTTGAGACTACGTTATCCGCAAACAGGCCGACCTCTTGGGACAATGCAGGAACCTCGTTCTTGACGGCTTGAAGCATAATGACTTGGCAGAGACATGAGAAAAACCCTGCGATAGCCAAAGAGAGAACGAAGAGAGCTGGGGTGGATGTGGCGTAGGCAAAGCACCACCGTGCAAGAATCTGTCGCTTGCCAGTGAATCGCGAACCAAATTTGATTCCCAATGTCGAGGTAAGAGAGCGTGAGGATATGTAGACCACATCCATTGAATCGTAGCGATTCTCGTCAATGAGCTTTGCATGACGTTGCTGCATTCTCCATCGTTTGATCTCTAGCCATGCCATTGGCGCGATTGCAGCGATGGCAAGAAGAGACAAAACCACGATGAAGATGATTTTGGCCTTGGCAATGAGACCAAATAGCCCATCAAAAAACCCATTCAGGGAGTCGTTGTTCGAGCAAAAAGTCAACTTCTCTTTTTGAGCTAGTGGAAAGACGTCGCGGTTGAATTTGTAATTCCCATAGCTGTCATTGAGGGCCTTTCGGACAAAGTTAAAGGGGATTGCAATCGCCTCCTTAGTCATATTCTGAACCTCATCAAATGTCGGGATATCGTCATTCAGCTTTCTGACATCTTTGACAAAGTCATCAGCTTTGATATCAAAGTTCTTGAGTTTGTTGATGGGTTCGGTGAAGTTTATTGTAGGAATCTCTGGAAGAATGCTTCCAAATATAGAGTCCTCGATTCCCTTTGTGATATCATTGAGGGTCTTTTCGAGACCGCCTGAAATCGTCTGAATCTCGCCCGTGGCACTGTCGATGATGGTATTGAAGGCCTTGGTAGCATCCTCTGTGACAGAAGCCACTACATCCAACGCGCCGTGAACGAGAGCAGTAAGGAGACAGGTATACGTGCCTACCATGAAGCTGATGAAGAAATAGATCATGGCCTCAACACCTGTCATAAGGAGGTCCAGCATGACAAGCATTGCATCAACGGCTTTTTCTATTCCGGTGGCTGCCATATTATTCACTCCAAGAGACAGGTAGTGTGGCATCGATGCCATGGCACTTCCCAAGTCCTCGACCTTGGTACAAGCCGACAGAGCTTTATCCTTCGCATCGTCGACGTTGGAGTTGAGCTGGCCGATGAGGATGACCACTCGAACCAGGACAAGGAGCAACAAGATCGTCCAGCGATTGATCCATATTTGGGAAAGTCGAGATCGTAGGCCGAGATAAGGGGTGATGTAGGGTGAGTTGTTAGCCTTGGTTTTTTGGACCTTTCGAATATCAGATAACTCGAAAGACTCTGATCGTAGAGAGTTTGGAACCTCGGGGACTGAGTTGTTGGTATGGCCCCGCGAGGTAAATTTGTGGAATCTATCCATCTTGGGTGCTTGCGCTTGTTGTTTAATGTAAAATTTCAAAGAGATGCGTTTGAAAAGTGTAAAGGGTAAAAGGGAGTTGAAACGTCGCTACCAGAGGGACGACAACTTGGGGAAAATGTCGAGTATTATTGGGCCGTGACCAGCAGGCGTAGAGGACTTGACGACAATGCTGAAATAATGAGAAGAAGAAGAAGGAGTTCGACCGAGCGAAGGCTCCTAAATTTAAGAAATAAAGAAAGAGACGTGAAAGGAAATAAACAAATGGAAGCTCTAGCAATCCATGGTCCAGGTGAGAGGTTGGGTGTGTTGAGGTCAATCACAAAAGAAGACAATAGGAATGGGAGGCAACAAAGGCGAACTATAAGCAAACCCCAAAGAATTTTGGATGCGCAATACCACGCCAGCTGGACTGAAACGGCATTCAATGCAAGCAGGGCAGAAGGCCCAATCACTGCGTATGCCTTTACAATTGCTCCAGGTCTCCCAGCCACAGGCCGGCTACCTGTTCGTCGTGCGTCCAGTGTTCGACTGGTTAAGCGCTCCGCCAAGCCTTCTGTAGCCAGTCAAATCAGTGTGTATGATGGCAACCAGGGGTGGTCAAAACGTCGGCGATAAAACTGGCCCACAAGCAAGCCATTGCGGTTCGACATTCAGCGCTTAAAGATTTACGTCTGTATTTTGGTATTTTTGCGGCGGTTCCAAAATTGGACACAAACGCTGGGGTTTGCCGGCTGTTGACATTTGGCTCACCTGGACCGAAGAGGCGGCTTTGTTCCATTGTTCATTCACCCACAATCGCACAATAGAGCCGGCACCTACAAGCCGGCTGGTTGGCCTTGAATAGCCGTCACTCTGAAATAGAGAGGACCCGAGCCTGCTCTGATACTCATCATTCTGAGCTGATCATTCAGCCCCAGGCTCGTCGTGCGTCGGTGCAGGCGCTTGCGTGAAGCTGGTCTCAGAATATGTCGGTGGAGGGTCAGCACCAAGAAGCGCAGGCTTGGCAGAATTGATAGGAGCATAGAGGACCTTGTTGAGAAACACGGGCCACCGAGACTCAAGCCGGCCCCAAGCACCTTGGACTCGATCAAGTTTTGAAGCTTCAGATCCAATCAAGGGACGTGGGGCACCAAAGGCGGCTACGCACATCAGGACGGCAGGTGGACCCTTGGGCCGCCTTCCTTCCCCACCAATAGCGCCCTGAAGCCGTGAGCCCACCTGCAAACACGATCATAGCTTGCTAGCGACTCTCTGCCTTACGTATCGTGATGCAGGTCCATACTGACCCAAGCGGACTATTTGCTCACAGCGCACATCGGTGTTGCAACCCTCCTGCGCGTATCCCCAAGACGTATGTTTTCTCACGGGACTCGTATGTGCTGCTTTACCGACCCTCGTGATGTACCACTGGAGGTGGTGCATCTGATGCGCTGACGTCACCTGCTTCCCCACGTCACGACACCCTCGAGAATATCGGAATACTGCACAAGAGCATCTCGAGAAGCCTATTGACCTGATAGAAAGGAATGGCGTTATGAGAACAAAAGCTCTTGCTGGAACCGCTATTCTAGCCCTTCCCCTAAAGACAAAGGGCTATTTTTATTCCCAGCGCTACAATGGGGATTGAAGATGGTGGGTCGTGTTTGGCGAAGCGCCTAATGTGCTCCAAGAGTCTAAAATACGTCCCGAGCTTAGATAGATCATCAGGACCCTTGACAATACCATTTTTACACTTTTTATCTACCTACCTACCTTGGTACCTATAATAACAGATTTCAAATGGGTAAAGATTTCTTCTCACCAAAGCATAGCCAGGCTACACTAGTCTGAAAGAATCTTCTCTAGACGTGGTGCAGAAGCTTGTGCTCATACCAGAGAAGGCTGTCATGACGCCGTCTGTCGTCCCTTCGCAATGATGGAAGACTGTCGACAGCAATCTTGAGGTCCGGTAACTGAGCACCTGGTGTTTGCCATGGGACTTATTGGTGGTCAAATGCATAAGCATATTGACAAGGAACTACTGCCGCATCAAAATCGAGAAGTGCAATGGGCCATCTTCTATGATCTAGCTACAAGAATACATCCGCTCATCGGACTTTCACTCGTTTAGTGATGGAGATGGTTAGCTTTGGCTGGTTTGGTGGATTTATTGCCTGCTTAGCATTTCTATCATTCTTCATACCCATAAACATCTTGAACAGTCCAACATTGTAAAGCCGACTTAAGAAACCCGCGAAAAGAAAGCGAGGAAACAATGACGAGTGCAAAGGGCTCGGTTATGCCAACAACGAACTCTTCGAACGAACGTTGCCCGCATCTAGATTATGGAGGTACTCCATCCCGATAGAAACCCGGTGCGTCAAACGAGCAAAAGGATTTGTCTTCGCTTCGCGCCTCTCGGAGCGGAAAAGGTGGCGCGCGTTCCGCCGTCGGTGAGGAGCTTGCTCACGGACTCGTATAAGATAAATCCTTACAACCATCCCATCAAAGAAAACACAATCGTCCAATAACGCCGGCATCAGTCTTGTCGATCGAAAAGTCGCGGGCGACTCAAGAAGACCCAAATGTGTTCTCCCCAGAGTAGGTAATGTAAAGGAAGCTGTGAAAGAAAGTTAGCAGCGGAGCATGAGAAAGGAAGCATGGAATCAATACATACCCATCCTCATCTTTGTGCTCTTCGTAGATGCTGCTCATGAGAGCAGCAGTTGGGGGCAAGACCTCATCGACGAAGATGAAGATGGCCTTCTCGGGGGAGAGCTTGATTCGCTTGCGGATGACGTAGACAAACTGGCCTACGGTAAGGTCGGAGGGGACGAGATACTTCTTCTTGTCGATGGTGGCGATATCGCTCTTCTCGACCTTCTCACAAATGACCTATTTGATACTTGTTAGCAAAACGAGTCCGATGTGGGATCAAAAGGCCCGCGAAGTGCTCGATCACCAAATAAGCGGGGTGCCAGCCTCGCCGCTCTAGGCGACGAGAAGGGCGGGCACATCGCATATCGTATCAGGCACGCGATGGGATTTTTCAAATGAAAAGGTAGGCTTACAGGAATGCGATCGGAGTACTTCTGGCAGATGCGCTCGGCCTCAGCCTTGCGCTTCTCGAAGGGGTGCTCGTCCTTAAACTTGCTACGCATGGTGGCGATCGTGTGAAGCTGGCGGTGACGTCGAAAAAAGGCGGTGGGATACTTGCGTCTGTCTGGAGCAAGGAGGTTGTAAAATCGAAAATGCGAGGGTGCAGATGGAGATGTTTAATGGAACAAGGTTCGGGGATGGATGAAATACTACGAGGCACGAAGGCAGCAGGCAGCAGCTGATGCGGCAGAGAAGGGCAACGAAAGGTCGGTGGGAGGACTTAGGCAAGTACCTTCATTAATAAGGCGGGTGGTGGCATATCGCAAGCAGCCTGCCGGGCGCCAGATTAGTAACGCCAGTGCTGTGCAGGTACTTTGCGCCTCTCACACAGGCAGAGGGACAGACGCGGGGTTCTCACGTTCACGCTAGACCCAGCCCCTTCTAAGGCTGATTGATCACAGTACAGCGCTCACGCCCGGATGCAGTCGAGCCTACAGTGCACTTAGCCGCTAATGGGCCGCACTGTGCGCATCAGCCGCCTCGCCAAGTGATCACGGGGGGAAACGAGGCAGAAGGGGCTCTGATGCGATCCATCCGGTGGTGGCGATGAGCGCACGCTGTTCCAGTCCTCGCCAGATGGGGAGGGAGGCCCTCCGATGTGACTCAACCGCCTCGGTGAGGGTCGATGCAGGTAGCTCATAGTGGAAACATTCCTGCAGCTTGAAATCTTCCACATGTTTTTTTTTAGGCGAGCAGCACTCTATCTTCCCTGGCCAATAAGTCGCATACGATTACGATGCACCTATGCGTACTTGATGACTCTTAGAATCGTGGTGGAGGAGGAGGAGGAGGTGGTGGTGGTGGTGTTTCAAGGTTGCTACATAGAAGCTGCAGAAAGAGGCCTCGTTGCGTCTCACCTACTCACCTTGTCTCTGCTCCCCTCCTCGTCATTCCGATGGCGGTCACAGTCTCTCTACCAGCTTTGTACAAAGTATCGAAAATCTGCGAGATCAGCAGCCTTCCAACCATTAGCGGGAAATGGGGTTGCCTGATGTTCTCTATCACCTGATATTTGTTCCTGGTCGGGATATTTGTCTTGGGCTTTTCCGGCGCATTTCCAGGTCTACGTCCATTGTTGGTCAGTTTCCTCCACCAAAGCTAGCGAACTGTCAACTGTCTGGAGGCAGACCCTGGCTATCCAATAGCAGTTTCCCCGATTCTATCCGCTGTAAATCGTAAGATTTTGTAAGCTCTTGTAAACTTTTTTTCACATCACATCCCGTTCCAATTGATTGGGATTCTAGTATATCTACCCATTGCGGTCGCCTTGTCTGGTTCTTTTCCGCTTTGCGTTGCTCATCACTCCCGGCTACCTCTAAGTTGCAGGTGGTGGGGAGAAAATTGTTCATGCTACACCGTCATTAAGCACTGCAACCCGTCTCAACCTACAAGCATCATGGCAGCCCGCCGACAAGCCCAGCGTCTCACGACCAAGCTTGGTCAGGCCTCTGCACCGCGGTTCACTCGCCAATTGAACGCCACGAGGCAGTTCTGGTCCAAATCTGGACCTGGCCAGTCTTCCAAGACCTCCTGGAGCTTGATTTATGCTGCAGGAGCTGTTGGCTTCGCCGCCCCTCTGGCTTACTACAATGTTCGTGCTGCTGTGAGCCTGTCGCTATACCGTGTTGCTGGAGTCTTTCTGACAAGTAGGAAAACAGGCTACCGAGAACGCTGCGAAGCTCGAAGCTACGACCCTCGCCGAGAAGGATGCATTAAAGAAGGCCGAAGCCGGCGTGACCGAGAGCTCCTCCATGCGCCTCAGGATGGAGAAGTTCATCAAGGAACAACAACAGATTATTGTTCGGGAACTGGAGAGGGTCGATGGCCACAAGTTCCGTCAGGATGAGTGGACACGCCCCAACGGCGGCGGCGGCATCAGCTGCGTTCTCCAAGACGGAAACGTCTTCGAGAAGGCCGGTGTTGGTGTCAGCGTCGTCTACGGCTCCCTCCCCAAGCCTGCCATTGCCAAGATGAGGGCCAATCACAAGTCCATGGATCCTAATGTCGAGTCCCTCGAGTTCTTTGCTGCTGGTCTCAGCATGGTTCTACACCCTCGAAACCCCATGGCACCCACCGTCCATCTCAACTACCGCTACTTCGAGACTGCGAACCCTGATGGAACTTCGCAGGCCTGGTGGTTTGGTGGCGGCAGTGACCTGACACCCTCTTACCTGTTCGAGGAGGACGCTGTTCATTTCCACCAGACCCTCAAGGACGTCTGTGATAACCACGACAAGACATACTACCCCCGCTTCAAGAAGTGGTGCGACGAGTACTTCTTCAACAAGCACCGAGGTGAAGGACGTGGAATTGGCGGCATCTTCTTTGACGATCTCGATGATTCGGGCCACGACCGCGAGAATACATTCGCATTCATTCAGGACTGCCTCAAGTCTTTCCTGCCTTCCTACGTCCCCATCATCGAGCGACGCAAGAACATGAACTTCAACGAGAAGGAGAAGGAATGGCAGCAGATCCGACGTGGCAAGTACGTCGAGTTCAACCTTGTCCACGATCGTGGCACTGCCTTCGGCCTCAACACGCCTGGATCGCGAGTTGAGAGTATTCTCATGAGTCTGCCACGCACGGCTGAGTGGAAGTACATGCACGAGCCCGAGCCGAACACTCGCGAGTCGCTCCTCACTGAGATCTTGAGAAATCCCAAAGAATGGGTATGAAGGATGTGCCACGTTCTGGGCACAGGATATTGTACAATATTGGAAGCATGCGCCAATTAGTCCCATCTTGTAGATTCTTTCACATACAGAGAGACACCTCTTGTAGCATATAATAATAAAAAAGCAGGCTTCTATTGGTAACCATATCGTTGTTGCGATCATCCTTGCTACCTAAGCTCTAGTACGTATTTTGACTCTACCTATAGTTGGAACTACCACCCAAGACGATGCATAACACCAATTTCTCGACTATGCACCCACCCGATAGGACTCACCAACCCAATGCTAAAAACTCACCACATTTTTCTATCCACTCAAGAATATATAACTTTTGAAACCAAGGCGTCGAAGTATGAGCTATCTGGCGAACGATGCAAAGCCTACCCAGCCACCGCCAGGTTCTCACGGCCCTCATTGATGCCATATCCGCAGCCTGCACCGTGAATGAGCAAGAGAGCGACGCTGCCACACAGCCAACAGACAGGCGCCGTCTTTTCCTCACCCTCCATGTATTATTCCCGAACCTTCTCCTCCCAGCCTTGGACCTTATAGATCGCAAACTTGTCACCCTGGTGACTTTACATGGCGCGGCGGAGGAGGGGCCACCATGCTCCGTCATCCTGGTCAAATCGGCCGTGGCCAAACCGATCCGGCGAGGTCGCCCTCCTGAGCCACCGAGGAACTACGTCGTGCGCCTCAGTGCATGGAGCTGCAACTGCGCCAGCTTTTCTGTAGACGCATTTCTACCTGGATGGGGAGACCAATCTACTTTCGCGGGTGATGAGGTAAATGACCATAGTGGGGGACTCTTTGGAGGCCTGAGCTCGGATGGTAGTGCAGTTCCTGGCCATGTTCCATGCTGCAAACATCTACTCGCGGCCGTGTTGGCAAGCCAATGGAGCCATCTGCTCGGTGGTTACATGGAGAGAAGATCGGTTACGAAAGAAGAGCTGGCGGGTCTTCTGGCTAGGATCTGATGGCAAGGCTGCAATATATTTCACACAGTTCTTGATGGCTGTCGACAGCCTTAGTCGGGCCTGTATTCATTACCCTCGTCCTAACCCTGCAAACCCATCCTGGTACATGTACAAATGCGGTCCCTCGATGGCAATTACTGTGGTGTAGTGGATGCCCCCCGGACCTCTGGGGTGGCTGCTTTAATGATCTATTTGGCTAGATGATTCATCTTTATTTTGTCTTTTCCTTGCTCTCCTTGTCCTTGTCGGCCGTCTCCTTGCTGTCGCCGGTGGCGCCTTCCTTCTTCTCTTCCTTTCCATTCACTTCCTTCTTCGCTTCCTTCTCTTCCTGTTGTTGTCTGTTCTGAATCTTGTTCTCAATGAGATCGTGGAACGCGGTGATGGCGCGTATCAGACTGCTCAGGTAGATGGTCATGAGCTGGTCGTTGGTCTTGATGCTCAGAGCATTTGCAAGGTCACCACTGCCAGACTTGTCACTGCTCTCGGGTGTCGAAAGGTTGGGTAGGAGGTTGAAAACGTCCTGGAGATTTCCAAGAATGGCGTGGTTGACGGGGAGATCGCCATCAAGGACCTTCTGGAGGTAGGCGCCAATATCACGTAGGCGGAGGTGGAGGCCTTGAAGAGACTGAAGTTGGTTGGTGACTCTGGTAGATAGGGTTCCGACTGCGACATCTCGGATATCTCTTAACAGATGCTCGACACCGATCTCCTCTGCTTCTTCGGCCTCAATGATGGAGGGGGTATGGACAAAAGTCCTTGAGGTCGTGGTGCCATCCTGTAGAATAGTTAGCTCTGTCAATCCATCTGGGGTTCTCTTTTAGGGGAACAACGAACGTCTTTGATCTCCTCTACCGCGAAGTAAGCGTCTGTGGGCACGCCAGACTCCTTTGGTTGGACATCAATAATGACCAAGAGAGGGTTGGGGTTATAGCGCTTGAAAAGCTCATTGATCTCCAAGTCGGATGCTCGAAGCTTTGGGCCGGAATGGTACCAGCCTATTAACTTCTCTCTGGCGTTGACCTTCTTAAACATATCGTTCATAGACTCGACGTAGTTGTGATCCAAGAACCACACCGAAGGGTCCTTCTCATCCTCCTCGAAAGGAACTAGAGCACAGTTAGCTCAGGCTCCCATGCTGTGAAATGAGTGGTTGATGACGTACCTGCGAAGCTGTTTGATACTCTCACATTCTTGCCATCGTTCTGCCCAAGAAGTACACCAACCACACGTTTCGACTTTGCACTGTTGTTCTGCTGTATCGTACGATTGTAGTGGTCGACGGCAGACAAAAGGACGAGAGGAGCGACAGACACGTTCCGAGTGACGAGAGAGAGCGTTTCCGCCGTCGTAGTAGGCATCTTTGTGGTTTCGCACCAATTCTGGGGCTGTCGGCGCTTGGTAGGCAATCGTTGTAGAATTAAAAAGAAAGAAGGCGGGTATGCCTAGTGGGCCGTGTATATTACGCTCCTAGAAGAGAACGAAGAGAGAGTGTCGTTTGTTTAGATGCTCGTGGTTGGTAAGGCAGTGGTGATCACGTACTTGAGGTGCTGCCTTGAAGCCCACCTCGTCAAGCTCCAACTAGAGGGGACCTTGAGCCACACCCGGGTCACGTGCTTCAGCTAACGCCACATCTATGTAAGGCTATTGTTTGATGCTGCTGACACGACGATCCGACATCGCTTGGGCCAGAAAAGCCAACTTGTGTAGCCGAGTTGCCCAGATTTAAGTAATTCAGTGACATTTTTAGTGAATAATATGCTAGGCTGCATGGTACAGAAATGAATGGGTAAGGCCGCGCATATTACCACCTCGGTTTGCGTGGTCTCGACAGTGCGAGATGCTGGCGGATAAGTGCAGCAGCGCGGGTACCTTTCTTACTAGCCTAGAATGATCGCGACGCGCAGACGTCGGCTTCCTGCTCAGGGCTAATCCTGAATGAGACGCTGGTTGGCCAGAGCTGCGGACAGGCGGAAAAGCGTTGCCTGCGCAATGCCTAGGTAACTGTCCTGTTCCATTGATGCTCTCGGCAAAGCAACGAACTGTCCCTACCTGCACTGGCACGGGAGCTGATGTCACGTCGCTTCACATGTAAAAAGTGCGGCTGGCAGTGGTGCACGAGGTACTTTGAATGGGTCAAGCTGGCCAGGGAGGCTTACCAGCTGCTCACTTAAGCCAACTGAGCAAGACACTCATTTACCAGGAACTGATGTGCGGCACGCCAGCAAGATTCAGAAATCCGACATGAATGCTGGATGCGCCTCGGAATGGGCAAAGGAGCTCGGCAGGCACCTTCAATAGTCAGGGTAACAGTCGACTCGGCCAGGGAGCTCGTGTTCACCAGAGCGAACCTTGGAAGCACTTGATGATCCGCGATTCGGCGTCGGAATTCCATTTGTCCAGAAAGGGAAGTAAGGTGTTGGCCAATTAAAACAGCGCATTCGGCAAGCTTGTTCCCCATGGCCCAGCCTGTTCGGGCAACCGCACCCAACAATTGTACAGGTACCGCTAAAGAGTTCTGAATGCCGCCGTTTGGATTCTTCCCTTTCATCCATCCAAAAGCCTCCATCAACGCCCCTCGACGACGCCCTCCTCCCCATCTCTCTGTCCCCTTCTCACCTCTTTTCTCCCATTTGATCACTGGAGCTGTCAGCCCCGCTCTCAATTGATCTTTCACAGCCGCCACCATGTCTCGAATCGAAGAGGAACTGAAGCAATTGACGCAGGTCGTCGCAAAGCTCGAGTCTCGCATTAGCAAGATTGAGCAGCTCGGCACTGGCTCGCCAACGGCTGAGGAGGTTCGCATGGTCCTCATTGGACCCCCCGGAGCTGGTACGTCGTCCAAGACCGCCTTTACAAAATTCTTCCGCTGTCGGACTTCGGCTCACCATATTTGCAGGCAAGGGCACACAGGCACCCAAGTTGAAGGAGCGATTTTCCTGCTGCCATCTGGTATGCCCATGTTCTTGTTTCTCTAGCAGCTCGCACAGCGTCGCTAACCTTGCTTGTTTCCGATACCATAGGCTACCGGTGATATGCTCCGCTCCCAGGTCGCAAAGAAGACTCCCCTCGGACGGGAAGCCAAGAAGATCATGGATCAGGGCGGTCTCGTTCGCGACGATATTATGATTGGTATGATCAAGGAGGAGCTCAGCAACAACAAGGAATGCCAAGGAGGGTAGGTTAAAAAAAATGATCGTCATTTACAAGTGGATTTTAACACATACTATAGCTTCATTCTCGACGGTTTCCCTCGCACAGTTCCCCAGGCCGAGGGTCTCGATGCCATGCTCCAGGAGCGTAGCCAGAGCCTCCAGCATGCTGTTGAGCTTCAAATCGACGACTCTCTCCTCGTCGAGCGCATCACTGGCCGACTTGTCCACCCCGCATCCGGTCGCAGCTACCACAGAACCTTCAACCCCCCCAAGCAGGCCATGACTGACGACATCACTGGCGAACCCCTCGTCCAAAGATCTGATGACAACGCTGAGGCACTACAGAAGCGCCTGAAGACCTACCACGCCCAGACTTCCCCCGTGGTCAACTACTACCAGAAGACCGGCATCTGGAAAGGCCTCGACGCCAGCCAGGAGCCCGGCCAAGTCTGGAAGAGCATGCTGGCAATTGTTGACTCTGGCTCCAAGGGCCAGGGCTCAACCATTCTGAGCCGAATTCTTCCCAAGAACTAAATTCAACTTTGTTGAAAAATTTAGGGTACTTGAAGGGGCTAAAGATCAAGTCTTGCCTCCAGTCCCTGAAAAGTGTCCTCTTGTATAACTGTGGGCTAAAAAGTTTTTCCAACGGCACCTGTACAAATCCTCGTCAAATCCAGATAGAGTAATCTGAGGAAACATTTACTCGAACACGCATAGTGAATGAATGAATGGAACAAATAATATATGCTTTGCACGACCAGTCCCCATTTGAGCAGAACCAATACGTGAACTATTGTAGATAAACCCACCTGCCAGAAGCCCCTAGTCATCAGTGATTGGTTTGTCGGCTCTTTAGAGGACTAATGAATCG